AAACAATTTAAACCTTTATATAATAATATTCTTTACCTTCAAGATATAATCTTGACCAGTGAGTTGAAACGTTTTACCACCTATGATGAAATTGACATCGGGCAATTTAGAAATCTCGTCGCACTCCACCTTTAAACAAAGGTCAATGTTAGTAATCCATATTAATAATCCGAACTTATCAAACATTTATTAATTTATTTTAATAATTTATTTAAGATAATTGTGAAAGCTGCCATTAACGAAAAGAATCTATTATTTACTGTTCCATTTTTAACACCGATCTCTCTGTTAATAACTGCGATATCCAACGCTGGTCCACCTATCATAGAAACACCCGTGTCGACGCTAGCTTGACAGCCTTCCGAGCAAAAGATGTAATTTTTTACTTGAATCCTACAGTGGAATAGCATTACCAATTAGCTGACATATAATCCGTGGTTGACATACGTATAAATTAGAAAAAGAAACTACATACTTATCCATAATAATTTGCCAGTATTTTTCTTCAGTAACATTAACATACGTAAACTCGCCCTCGTAATGGGAAGGATCGGTGCCACCCAATATCAGTTCACCGCCGATCACGTCCGTGTGATTTCTGTATAGGTTGTATATTTTTTACATTGTTTATACATTTGCATTTTACATTGCATGGAAAGCCAAAGTATGTAATTAAGAAAATAGTATTAAACACACGTGAGGCATACGAAAAGATACATACCGATTTAGATAGAAGCTAAAAATTAGTTGGGACACCACGTGTTTATCAATCATCTGTTGAAAGACAGTAGTAGACGCAAAGTGAGATAAGGCTGGATAACCCATCTAAATAATGTGCTAAATAATGTAAATAAGAGAGTATGTAAGTATGGAACTTAGCTACATAATATTTACCTTACCACTGACTCGAATCTTTGAAACGGTTACTTTAAAGATATTATAACTTTACTTGAAATGTAAATGGAATAGATACAATTCTACAGCATTATTCTTATCTTATATTTTTACTTGATATTAATCATTAAACGAGAAAAAAATAATTAAGATTATTTTAATACTTAAAACATTAATTTTTTTTAATACAAATGTACATATAAAAATAATAGAATATCGGGGAGGTAGCGATGTTATGATATACTCACAGCAAGCAGGTTGGCTGACGTTGCAGATTTTGGATAGTACCCAGAGATCGGAGGATCCAGTGTCAAAAAGTACATTAAACTTTTGCGGTGGCGTACCAATTTCGATAGTACCGTAGTATTGAATATTTCTCCATTTAATCAGAGGTACGGCTGCCGTACCCGAACGGAGTCGTGGGTATGTCTTGTATAACGGAATTCTTGAAGCAACATAAAAAAACTTCCATTATATTATATACGTATATGTATAAACGCGAATGTATGTACATATATCGTACAACATAAATACGAATTTTAAATAATTTATTTGATCATTTTCGAGCACTTCTTATTTAAAAACTATTAAAGCCTCAACATGTGGACATTAAGAAATAAATACTACCTGCATAGATTTACGCATTAGAATGTATTTAGGTATTTGAAATGCGAATTCCTCTTTTCATGATGCTAATCTCACTTAAAATAAGATTTTCGAAGGAATCCTCGAAACATCTCTTGTAATTAGTTTGCTCACTTTATTCCGACTTTCAAAATGCGTTTTTCTTACAGATTTGATGCAATTATGGTATTTGAAATTGATTTATTGATAATTATTTATCGCAAATTCTGCGGCGATTCCAAGTAGTTGGAAGCGCGATCTTTATACGATATTATAATTCATCGTGTCGATATAAATGTGGATTGATTGTATATAACATATGTACTCACTTATACACCTCCGCGTTGATTGACGCGAAGATGACTACCGTGATTACCGTCACAAAGAGCCGATACATGTTTCCTGAATTTCTCGGCAACTGAAGTTATACGAAAGTGAAAATTGTTTTAGGACCGTTAGAACTGCGACTCGATCCACAACCGATACGTACAGACGAAGAACAGGCAGTCAAATTGTTGAGCATTCCCTTATATACAAATGTGCGTATATGTCCTTGTGCTTATAAGAAGGTGGGGGCAGGAGGGCAGAAAAACAAGCGAAGCATTCCAAAATTTTGTGTTCGAACGATATTAGAAATCGCTTCGAGATGGAGAAATAAAATTGACTAATCATATTTAAGCAATTCGGCAATTGACCAATGCGATTGGTAAGTTGCCGAAAATTTAAGAATTTTATCAACATAAAGAATTTATCAGATTTAAGAGTTTTATCAACATAAAGAATTTGTCAAATTTAAGAACTATTATCAACATAAAGAATTTTGTCAGTTTCCAAGAATTTTCTCAATTGTCAAGAATATTTTACATTTCCAAGAATTTCTCGAATTTCTAAGAATTCGGGCTTTCAAATCCGGCTTGGTACAATTGTTG